TGTTGTTGTTGGATGGTTGGTCGTTGTGGGTTGGTAGGTCGTTGTGGGTTGGTGTGTCGTTGTTGGATGGTTGGTCGTTGTGGGTTGGTAGGTCGTTGTGGGTTGGTGTGTCGTTGTTGGATGGTTGGTCGTTGTGGGTTGGTAGGTCGTTGTGGGTTGGTGTGTCGTTGTTGGATGGTTGGTCGTTGTGGGTTGGTAGGTCGTTGTGGGTTGGTGTGTCGTTGTTGGATGGTTGGTCGTTGTGGGTTGGTAGGTCGTTGTTGGATGGTTGGTCGTTGTGTGTTGGTGGGTCGTGTTAGATTAATGGGCCCTGTTGTAGTTTGTTGGGTCTTTGTGGTAGCTGTTGAGTTGTTAAGATGTAGCTTCTAGTAATGTAATTGCACCGTGCAGATAAACTTCTTGTTACGTAATGATCATTGAACGTTTGCTTTAAAAACAATATTGACAATTTGAAATTGTAACTTTTATTTACCAACTCTCATTTTACTTATGGCAGATATTCTTTTTAATGTAAAGGTACTTTTTGTTTTAGAATATCTGTTTTCAATAACTATCAATCAATTCATAAAATCGTAACATTTTTTCACAAAATGTGTTGCTGTAGTCTTTGACTTACAATTTATTAAAAATACATTCTGCCATAGTTTTTTTTTAAATACCTACACAAAGCGGAAAATAAATACCCCCCCCCCCCCCGTCACACACACATTTCACTAAACCACTATTCCCAAGTAAATAGCCAACGATGCGCATCTCTGTTTCAAGCATGACAAGAGGCACCACTTAAAGACCACCGCCCCAGGATATATCATCCCGTCAAATTGTCTTCATGGCTTCAATTAACTATAATTATCTGCTGGCTTGCGTAGATGTTCAGCGTGTACACTTCGCTTGAGGGGGTTACATTTTTTTTAGCATGTTACTGTAGATAGGTATTTTATTCCCTTGCTGAGATCTATAATGGATCTAGTTGAAACATGAGAGATATAAAGTTATATGTACTTTTCATTCAACAAGTCGCGTAACTACTGTTATTTTGGAGAGGTGTACCTTAGAGTATGATGTAAAGTATATGATATGTAAACACTATGTCATAGATTCCTACACATACGTTATTTTATGTGCGTAGATTATTTGCCATAGGATAACAAAATCCGGCTTTGCATGTCGAAGATTATATGGATTCCAAATATTGCCACAGTAAAATTGTTACTTTCTTGGAGGTATAAATTATCATATTATGTCAAAACATGGTTTAGTTTGTATGTTAGAGGTTCTATAGATTCTAAATATTGCAACAGTGTAATTGTTACTTTCTTGTAGGTGTAAAAGCTGGTATTATGTAACAGTAAGGTGTACAGCTAATGGTACTGCGCGTACAAGTATTTTTAAACCACTGTGTAGGAGTTGGGAGGACGGATTAGCTGTGGCTGGATCAACACTTATTTCGTCCTTCGAGATGTTTGAGGTTTATCTTGCCCGGGGACGGAGGCAAAGTCGGCTGGGTCATCGTAGACTGAGGAAGAAGGAGGGAGAGGGAGGGTGTGAGAGATAGATAGGGAGAGGCGGGGGAGAGAGGGTGCGAGAGATAGAGAGAGAGGGTGCGAGAGATAGATAGAGAGGGTGCGAGAGATTGGGGAGAGTGAGAGAGGGTGCGAGAGATAGGGGAGAGGGAGAGAGGGTGCGAGAGAGAGAGGGGGAAGATAGGGGAGATAGGGTGCGAGAGAGAGAGGGGGGAGATAGAGGAGACGGAGAGATAGGAGAAAGAAGAAGAGTATGTAATAATAGAGATAGGGGTAAGGGTAGGTAAGAGGGAGGGGAGAAGAAAGGGAGGGAAATAGAGAGGGAAAGAGAGGGAAGGGAGCGAATCAAGAAGACCCGAGTAGTGAGTAAACATCTTGGTAATGACCACTGGTCACCGAGAGACCGCTGTCCGTGCGTGAGCAGCGTCCACTCAGTCTCGGTCCATGCTCTTGCCTGCATGCCCCTCCTCCCCCACCCCCACACTGGGTGACTCACCGGGTCATAGAACTTCACAGCAGAGAGCAGGATTAAGGTTTGGATACACGAGCATGTAACGTGCATTTAGTGGAAAAAAAGATTGTTGGAATTAGCATTGCATGATAGATGGGGGATGCTAAAAAAACTGGTTCTGTCCGTGGAAAGGTCAAAATTAATGGATACTCACGATACATATACCGTCGACTCGGTGTATACGGGTTGAGGAGCGTATACGTCATTTCCGTCTCGGTCACTCGCTCGACGCCGCCCTCGGTGTTTGAACAGGACACGAACACATTCGCAAATCACGAGCGGGATTCATCGCGTCGTCTGATGGACAAAAGGTTGTCTACCCCCCCCCCCCCCCCCCAAAAAAAAAAACCGACACTAACCGTTAAGTTTTAAATAAAAGTGTAAAGAAAAAAAAAACATAGACAACTCACTCCGGTGGCGTTATCTCCCTTTAACACGATTCTTCTATTAAATCCATTTCTAGAGTCGTTTCAGCGGTATCTGACTAACCGAGCAGATACAGTGCCTTCACTGTGTATTGAATTACTTGAAAAAAAAGTCACCTAAACATCATAAAACATTTTTACACTTTGCCTCACACCCCCCATCCCTTTTTATATTTAGCCCGCCGAACATATTCGGTTCTATGTTTTTTAAATATAATAAATATAATAGCTACCCTGATCCTGATTATAACATAGCCCAAATCCTAAACTTAGAATTAATTCGAATGCAAACCCTCAATCTAACAACAATACAGACATCAAACATCCCCCTCCCATATACAGATTGTACATTATTTTAATAACCCGTGTTCTTAGTTTTAAAAAAAAAATTGCACAACGCAGTTAAAAAAAAACGAATACAAAACTACAGTATCAAAACCGAGGCGTTGGAAAGAAAATAATAGAAATTATCGATCAATAACTAAAGCGTGTAAGGGAAAATAGGCGTTAAAAGCTAGCATTAGGTGCGTCTAATGCGCGTCTGTGGCAAACACTATTCTATGCATTTAAATAAAAAAATAAAACTCGAGAATGCTATTTTTAGAAACCTGGGTAACCCCGATTCCCCTCTCCCCGTCCTATAATCATAGCAGTGTAGCTGAAGCTTGAATAGATTCTATGTTTTGTGTTTGAAGCTGGCACGATACGATACAGCCGGAGGTGACTCTTTGGCAAATCTAGCTGGATAAAGGAAGATCGGGGGGGGGGGGGGGATGCAGAGATTTTCTTTTAGGCATCTCTTCGGTTATGGGGCGCTCCCCCCCCCCCCCTCCAACGAACATAAACAATATTATTTATATAGAAAATATATATTTATATACTCTAACCAGTTTCGTTGTGTGCCCCCCCCCCCTCCTCAAGTGTCTCCAACCCTGAAAGTAAAATGTCTAAAAGAAAATAAGACTTTAAATGTAAATATTTATACTATTGTTAAAATACTATCTAATCTGTATATTTTAATACATATTCTTCGGTTACATTTACGAGTAAATTAATGTTCTAAAAAACCGGATTGCTTTTAAGGCCACGTCCGTTGTTTTTTTTTTTTTAAGTTTGTGATAATATAGACTTTGCTATTCTAGCTGCTTTAGCCAACTTGATTTGGGGACATTTTTCCAGGTTATTTTTTTTTCATTTGTTGATCTGTGAATGATTTTGATGAAACGATTAGCATAAAAAGAACATATAAGCTTGGCATTAAGAAATGCGCCATTGTCACAAACTGACACTTTAAAAAAAAATGCTTACTCGGTAAAATAGCGGATATCACAGCGTGGATCTGATATTTTTCATGAGCGCCTTTTTTTTTGGGGTCCGGAAACACGTTTTTCGTTTTTTAAACTACGTTCCCAACACCATAATTATTTCAGCGGCCATTCTTCCCCTCACGATTCCATCATTTAGGGGCGTCTCACCAAAATAATTCGCCCCTCCCTTACCCGCCCCTCCTCCCCACCCTCTAAGATCCGTCATTTAATTTTCATTACCTCCTCTACCCGAAGTCGACCACTCTCTCCAGCCCTTTGCTAAACTCCTTCTGAAGACCGAGCGAACGTCGAGTGCTGTGTAAAGCTTCTGCCCTCAAAAGAGCTTTGGACAGGTTTCCCTGTCTGCGTGTCCAGCCTCGTTTTCAACAGTTTGCAAAAGCTCAGAAATGCTGAGAAACGACATTTTTAGAAGAAAAAAAGTATAACGCGAACCAACATCCTTTTGTAACTGTCTGAGAAATGTGGATCTGCTGCCTACGTTACTGTACTAGACAGCATACTTTGTATTGTGTTTCAGATATTGCATTACTTTAATTTTAATAAAGCCGCCTATGCTATTAATTTTAGATATCTACATCTAATCAATCTTTTCGTTTTATTATTATTATATATATATATTAATATATATATATATATATATATATATATATATATATATATATATATATATATATATATATATATATATATATATATATATATATATATATATATATATATATATATATATATATGTGTGTGTGTGTATATAGTGGGTGGATGGGTTTCAATGTTTCTTACAGGGGTAGAGGGGGGTACTTGTCAGGGGGTGGGGGGAAGCGGAGACATGATAAAGTATATATTTTCTATATAAATTATTTTTTTTTTCTATTTCTTGTGTGTGTGTGGGGGGGGGGGGAGGAATAGTTGACATGCTTCGATGAGATGTCTCAAAGAAATAATGTTGGGTTTGTAGAACACTATTAGTACACCTGTGATCAATCAGGCTGTCTTTGATTCTAATTAGACCGTTTCCTGGTGACATTTACCAGCTCAAGAGAGCTACGGATCGAATGCCGGGGTCTCTGGGGGGGGGGGGTGCCACATCCCCAGTCACATCCATTGTACTAGCGATCTGGGTTCAGTAGCCACTGCTATGCTGGAATAGAAATGTCGGCAGTGGAATGGGGTTTAGGGTTCTGGAATAGAGATATGTGAGCAAATGGTGTTAGAGATGTGCAAGAAAATGGTGTTAGAGATGTGCAATAAAATGGTGTTAGAGATGTGCAAGAAAATGGTGTTAGAGAAGTGCAAGAAAATGGTGTTAGAGAAGTGCAAGAAAATGGTGTTAGAGAAGTGCAAGAAAATGGTGTTAGAGAAGTGCAAGAAAATGGTGTTAGAGAAGTGCAAGAAAATGGTGTTAGAGAAGTGGAAGAAAATGGTGTTAGAGAAGTGCAAGAAAATGGTGTTAGAGAAGTGCAAGAAAATGGTGTTAGAGAAGTGCAAGAAAATGGTGTTAGAGATGTGCAAGCAAATGGTGTTAGAGATGTGCAATAAAATGGTGTTAGAGATGTGCAAGAAAATGGTGTTAGAGATGTGCAAGAAAATGGTGTTAGAGATGTGCAATAAAATGGTGTTAGAGATGTGCAAGAAAATGGTGTTATAGATGTGCAATAAAATGGTGTTAGAGATGTGCAAGAACATTGTGTTAGAGAAGTGCAAGAAATGGTGTTAGAGAAGTGCAAGAAAATGGTGTTAGAGAAGTGCAAGAAAATGGTGTTAGAGAAGTGCAAGAAAATGGTGTTAGAGAAGTGGAAGAAAATGGTGTTAGAGAAGTGCAAGAAAATGGTGTTAGAGAAGTGCAAGAAAATGGTGTTAGAGAAGTGCAAGAAAATGGTGTTAGAGATGTGCAAGAAAATGGTGTTAGAGAAGTGCAAGAAAATGGTGTTAGAGATGTGCAAGCAAATGGTGTTAGAGATGTGCAAGCAAATGGTGTTAGAGATGTGCAAGAAAATGGTGTTACCGATGTGCAAGTTAATGATGTTAGTGATATGCAAGTAAATGGTGTTAGAGATGTGCAAGCAAATGGTGTTGGGGATGTGCAAGCAAACTGTGTACTCATACGTTCAAAGACGGAGCATTTCCGATATAGGCCTACTCTGACATGAAATAAAAGTATTATTTATTCTACTTTTTTTTATTTTTGTATCAAAATGGAAACTCCCCACGCTTTAATTTAATATTTTGAATAAAAAAAAATTCTGATATGTTATGATTATCATTACTTAGTTGAGATCGTCTTTGTTCCATCATTGCAAATATACATCTTGATTAATATATAGTTTTTGCTTTGTAAATTGCAATTCTACTTCAACACGTTTTAGATGTTTATTTATAGGACTATGTGTTGTAAGTATAGTTAAACGTGTCTGAAGATTGGCAGTAAACGTCAAGACTAAAGTGAAACCAAAAAATTTACTGTTTAGTCTGCCTAAATATATTTTTCTTATCTAGGTTGTTAGATTTCTAGTTTACTGATTACATCAGATATTTTGCATGTTAGAATTCATTCTGGTTTGTAGTTTTTAATGGCATAACCCGGTTTTTCGTTGTAGAAATAGTCAAGAAAGAAATCGGGTCGATGAACCTATTCCCATCATCCTATGTCTCCGCCCTCCCCCACCCCCCTGACACCCATACTCTCACATATAAAGCAATGGTTATCGACCCCTAACCCTAATCTGGAAGTTTGAAAGGAAATGGTACCAGTTTAGTACCAGCGCTTGACATCATGTCCATTTTTGGGTGGAAACAAATGGCCGCGCCGCGCCACGTCACATCCGCTTGCCGTAACCATGGTGAGGAGACGCGTCTGTGTTGACCTTGGTATCTAAAAACTTCCGGTGCAGTCAAACCATCTGTGCCAAATGACCATAAACGTTCAGTAGCTGTATTTTTTTTTTTTTTTTTGGACTTAACACTTCTTTTGTAGGAAGATTTATACTTAACAGTAAAACCCTTTTCTTTGGTTTTTAATACTTTGTTTGTAGAGTTATTTATAACCGTAATAAAAAGTTAATTTAGTGACTGATATGTGTGTGTATGTATGTTTAATAGATACAGCTAAAACATTATTGGCTTTTTAAAAAAGTTGTCTTGCTGACTGTTGTGTATAAAAATGTGTGTTAATATTTTTGTATGTATATCGTCACGTCCTCGTGTATTCTCTTTATGTTCAAGATACTTTACCTGTGTTAGATGAATACTCACCCTTACCCATGGGAGGGTGTTGGGGTGGGGTGGGGGGAGGCGCGAGTAAGTCGTTCGTGGCCGTCGTCATATTTCGAGTTAAAAAAATTATTTTAAATGCAACCCGAATCATCCGTATTACAACCCCTTCATATCCCGTTCCGTGTTTACCCCTCCCCCCATGTTTAACCGTAACATTTCTTTCTTACAAATGTAAGACCTTAAGTCTTATACTGAGCTTATTAACTTTCGAATCCAATCGAGATAAAAATAAACGAGCCTTCTAAACAAATGTTTTTTTTTATCCTTATCTGCCAGTGATTTCCGTCTCTCTGTATTGGGCAGTGTTGCAAGCCACTTAGACGCCAATTTAAAAAAAAAAAAATTGGCACACGAAAAAAAAAATGTCTGCCCCTTAAAGAGAAAAAAAAAGAACTAAACATGCGTTTAAAAAAACACACACAGCGAGAAATATTGAAATAGCCGCACAAACAGCATCCTGCAAACATGGTTTGGGATTTAATCATAATAAAACAAATTCGCGACTCTTTATGATGACATTGCGTGAATGTTATCATATTTTTTACCGCTTATTTTCGCAGGCTTGAAATCCTACACTAATGAGTTTAGCCTCGAAGCATCCCGTCCATTCTTTTAGGTTATGTCACTTTGATTGTTTTTATATAACAGAATTATCCGTTTTATTCTGCTTGAATAGCTCAGATTATTGTCCGTTATATTCTGCTTGCATAGCCTAGATGTTTGTTCGTTATATTCTGCGTATGTAGCCTAGATAATTGTCCGTTATATTCTGCTTGTATAGCTTAGATTGTTTTCAGTTTTATTCTGCTTGTATAGCCTAGATGAATGTCCGTTTTATTCTACTTGTATAGCCTAGATGGGTGTCTGTTATATTCTGCTTGTATATCATAGATATTTGTCCGTTTTATTCTACTTGTATAGCTCAGATGGTTGTCCGTTATATTCTACTAGTATAGCCTAGATGTTTGTCCGTTTTATTCTGCTTGTATAGCTCAGATGGCTGTCAATGTATAACTTTTTTCCCTAGCTGAGATGATTGCCATGTCAAGTTCAGCTGTTTGTTCGTTTGATTAGCCTCTATAGGTCACATGGTTGAAGGTTCGATCACTCTTGCCTTAATTGGTTCTATCTAACGTGTACAAGCCCAACATTCGGCAACAGAATACACCCCATCCGTCCAAATTTCTTAGCTACATATTCTCACGACGGTAACAGACTGATCTAATTATAGTGTCATACACAATTTTCTGGAAGTGATTGAATGTGTTATTTTTACAAAATATGTGGTAGGCCTGTGTTCTAGTATGGATGGGAAAAGCACCTATCTTGTAATGTGAGAACTACTCAAACATACGACGTCAAACCGAGTGGGTGGTTAAAAATCTTTTCTGTATTTATTTATACAAATCCCTGTTCGATTGATTTCACTTGCTATTGTTTCGTTTGTCGACACATGTTAGACTTGAAAGGATGTATGTAGGTTTTCTAACATATATTTAATTGTATTATTTGTAGCGTGTCGGGTAAATTTTAAGTTTATGTTTACATGATTACACTGTTTTAATGCTGTGTTCACAATACACTAGCATTGATTTCTCTCCACATAACTTGAACTCTCTTACAAATCTAGAACTATTTCAACGTCTATAAATGTATATTATGTGTATAATATGGGGCGACGTGGTCTAGCGGTGCAGAGCTAACCCGAAAGTCTCGACTTTGAATCTGGGACCAAATCAGTAGAAAGTCCCTAGGTCCACTCAGCTCTGATGGATATCTAACTCGCGTTAGGGAAATCAAAGGTGAATGGGCACAGTGCTGACCACATTATCCCCCTGTATGCCGAGGTAATTGAAACAGATGAACTCTACTTCATCTGCCACATGTGTCTTGCGTACAAACGGGAAAAGATGATAGTATATATATATATATATATATATATATATATATATATATATATATATATATATATATATATATATATATATATATATATATATATATATATATACGTATACGTATACAGCTACGATAGATATTTTTACTTTACCGTTCAGTTTCTTTAAATTGTACCTTAACCTGAGGCTACCACTTTTCGTTATTTTGGACTCAACTTCCTCTATGACAGTCATCATAGGAGGTAATAGCTGTAAATAGTCGCCAATAGTCGAAAAATTCCCAACTATTAACGGAACGTATTTCCCTCCTTCTCTCCCTTAAATTACAGTTATCGCCCGTGGTTTAAAAAACAATTCACCGTGTTGTCTCCCTTACATTTCGACCACCGATAGCCGTAATCACGTCATTTCCGGTTCGGCGTTGCATTGAGGGCTCCACGTAATATTTGCGTTCGTCCCCCACCCCCGTCGTCTCTTCTCCCCACCCTCACTTTTAAATTAATTATCATCGATTACCTGAGCTTCTGTATTAATCAATTCCGTGTAGTTGTTAGCGATTTATGAGGCTCTGCTTACGTATGTTTAAGCAACACTCGATAGCTTGAAACTTATAATAATGTAATAGTCTTGATGGAGGAGTTTCTTTCAGTTTTATAACAGTTATACATGACTGTCCGGTATGATAATGATCAGTTATTGTATACTAATGTTAAACTTTAAAAAAAATGATCTGTCAAACATAATTTCTTGACGTTTTATAAGAGTCAGCACCATGTTAAAGACTAGTCACTGAACGCCAGTGCTGATTTGAAACTGAAATAACAATGAGTTACAACCTAATACCTTCTAGTCTAAGGGATTGTGTGGGGAAATAATGTTGGTTTGCTAAGTTTTAATATAATGATGTGCTACTATACATATAGCTACTTTATGTTAGCTTCTCGTTTTCAGAATGTTAAAAATGCATCGTGGCTATGCACTATGCATTTTATTTTTAATCCAGAGGTATTTTTAAAAGTTTTTTTATAATGATATATTTAATGGGTTCATGTATCTTGGCGTTTTGAAAGTGGTCAAATATGTTTGATGAGGTTATTCCAAGTTCTATTTAAAGCCGTAACACATTGTTAATGAACCTTTTTTTTAATTAGTTACGACACCGTTTAGATTAGATGTATTTGCTAGGACAAGATAGTCAAATTTTGTTCATTGATTAACTTTACTGATTAAAGTTTTCATAAAAATCAATGACTTTAAAGAAACTAATTTACCAGTTTTGCTAAAAAAAAAACTTTCAATTTTTTTGTTAATTAAAATTTGGAAATTGAAACATTTTTTTAAGAAAAGATTTTTTTGGTATAAATTTAAGTAACATTTTTAAGGGGGAAAAACTGTCTGTAATCTGTGTTTAAATGGTAAAAAAAACTATAATGTTCTCCCAATTTTCCCGGTTGATAAACGAACAACGAATCTTTTGAGCAACCGTTGCAAAAAAAAAAAAAAAAAAAAATTAGAAAAAAAAAAAAGGAAGATTTTCATGAAAATAGCAAACAATACATTTTCATTGTCCCGACCATCGTCTCGTCCAGACTTCGATTTCCGGTGTCTGTCAATAAATCATTTCTATTGTCATCCGTTCCTGGCTAGGACGACAGACTAGCCGGAACAATACTAATCAGATAAGTACAGGGATGATGGTAATTATAAATAATTAATCGTAGTTTGCCCTTTCCGCTCATGTTTATTCTTCATATTACGTTGACTTTTTTGTTTTTGTCCTTTGTTTATACAACTATTTTGGTCTTTTATATCGGAATGTTGTTCTTGCAACCATTTGTCTTTTGTATTGAAATGTTGCTCTTGCAACCATTTGTCTTTTGTATTGGAATGTTGCTATTGCAACCATTTGTCTTTTGTATTGGAATGTTGCTCATG